AAGGGACACACAAGGTAATCCCTTGACTTTGCTGGTGGGAAAATGCCCTGAGGGGCCTCTCACAGGCTCCCATGACAAATTCAGTTCAATCCTTTCCTGCCATCTTGGAGGAAACTCCTTCCCAGTACAATTAAATAACCTAATGACTATTGTAAGAAACCATACTGCTCTGGATGATACAACACCTTTAGAAAATAAAACAAAAATTTAAGGAGAAATTATAAATCAAAATTGATAAAGATTAGATTTAGAACCTCCCCAAAGTTAGGGTTGGGGAAGGGTTTTGTTTTTGTCTTTGAGGAGAATGAAGGCTAAGGAATCTGAAGAACACTGGACAAATGAGACATCTAAAGAAAAAGGGCAAATCATCCAGAAAAAATATACCAAGAAAAAGAGTAAATTGGCCTATTTGTATGTCACATCACCAACAGGATAACATTTTATAAGTCTTCCTAAATGTTTGTTTCTGCTGTTTTCTACAGACACATAATGCAAATGGCCTTTACGTAGGCCCAGTTTAATTAAAAATTAAAGCTGGATTTGGAGTTGGAGTGTGGTTCTCTCCTTCTCTAAAGCCCAGCATGCTTGTTAAAAGAAAATTCAATGCCAGCGCACGCCTTTGATCCCAGCACTTGGGAGGCAAAGCCAGGCAGATCTCTGTGAGTTCGAGGCCAGCCTGGTCTACAAAGCGAGTTCCTGGAAAGGAGCAAAGCTACACAGAGAAACCCTGTCTCAAAAAACAAAAAAAACAAAAAACAAAAAAGAAAGAAAGAAAGAAAGAAAGAAAGAAAGAAAGAAAGAAAGAAAGAAAGAAAGAAAGAAAAGAAAATGCAAAATTTTTGTATCATGTCAGAAGAGCCACCTGATATGGGATAGAAGAAAAATCAAAATTAAGGGACTACTCTATTGCTATTAATCTCATGATCCTTTGGTCTTATTTGGACTCTTTAAAACTTTTCTTGAGGTATAAATTTTATATCAAAATTCATAAGATTTATATGTATATTAAACTTTTGTCATGATATTAATGGTTATATAGAGTACTAACTAATTGTAGAAAAAAGGGTTCATCCAGCTTCCTGTACATGATTTTGGGTTTGAGTCTCTATCAGTTTTCTGCAGTGAACCAGGACCATACCTAACAGTGACTTTGAAGTCTCCAAAAAGATGATGGGACCCCACAATGACGATTCTGTCAGGACTATGATCATGCCACCAAACTAACAAACACCATTCAAAGATTGGCTTT